CCACAAAACCCCAAAACCCCAAAACCCCAAAACCCCAATCGCCATTTAAAGGATTGTAAATAATTTAAATATATCATGGAAGCTAGTGAACAAACGCAGGTAAGCTACTCTGGAGACAAAACTATTGATATTCAAAGATTCTTCTCTTTGGTGAAACCAAAAATATTATATCTATGGGACTGACCACTGACCACAATAGATTAAGTCAACGAAAATACTCTTTACCAATGATATCCACAATCATATCAATAAGTGATAATTTTCATTTAGGATAACCCAGTGATTGATATTGATCAAAGGTAAAGTCATTTACCTAACTGTATAGTATAAAGGAGCTATTCCAGTTGCCAAAATCGCAGCTGTATAACAAAGATGGCTTGATTACAAATCCGAATGCAGTGAAAAGTTTATTAGAGTACTTACAATTACCCAACGAGGGAGATGAGCGGGTAATCTAATTTACGATCCTATAGGAAAACATCATCGCTAATAAGATCAAGATCATCAAGGAGCTGATTGGCCTTGTAGGGAAATGAGGCAACAACAGCCTGGTGCTCAATGCTATGGCGAAGACTTACTCCAAAAATCCCAAGACAGATTCTGTGTTCCTGACAATTAAAGCTCTGTTTAAAAATTGTCACCCTGATAAAGATAATAACGAAGAACAGAGCATTTGAGATAACCTCCTGATTCTTCTAAGAAGGCTGGTAAATGGCCATAGGTTCAAGAAGAAGCATCTTGAGTGGATTTATTCCAAAATCAAGCTGAAGGAGCCTGAAGAGGAGCAAAAAGCCAAGCCTGGAGAGATAGATTCCTCAAAATCATCTCCAAGTTCTACATACTCTTCTGAGAAGATATCAGTTGCTATTGAGGTTATTAGTACTCTGTTGGCCAATGATATGATGTTTAACGGTCCCCAAAATTTCATATATTTCAATGGCTACAACATCCAAAGTGCGGAGAAAGATATCCCATCCGGGATTACGACTTTCAAGAAGGGAATCTCTGGCAAGAGCCCATTCAAATCGGTATGAAAATATTTTGATATTTTAGAGCTTCACAGTTAGCCTATGGTTCAGGATGGAGGAGCTAGAATTCTCTGAGTCAAACTACGTCCAGCATCTGTTCACATTTTTCAAGAACGAAATGGCTGGATTTGAGTGCTTCTTGATCAAAAATCAGATGTATTACAGGGTTATCAAGAACCATTATACTCCACCAGGTATAATTAGCGGTTAATCTTCATAGAAAAGGATGACAAAGCTGTATTTTTGGGTGAATTTGACCCTGAGGAATGGTACTACCTCGCTATAGTTCATGAAAAGAAATTTCTAGGAGGCTCGACCATAAAAGCAGTCGTTAATGGCAAACAAGTTATGAGTGCCCATCTAGATTTTCCAAAAATGGATCGTGCCACAGTCCTAGATAAGGCCACGATTGCGAATAAATTCTGTGGGCAAATTAGTACGTTTATTCTATTCAGAGAGTCTATTAGCTCTGATAAGCTTAAGAAGATCTATACATTTTACCCTTTTGGATTGTATAAAAAGGAGCATGCTAATATGCTCAACGAGTCTGCCATCTTTGACGATAAGCTTATCAAAAGAATTGAGTTCCTTTACACTCCTGTCAGGTCGACTCCTAACGTAGGAGTCTGGGATCTAGTTAACCAGTACTTTGGATCCTTAGAAACCAATTGTGGAGTTTGGGTAGAAGAAGATTTCAAAGACCAATTCTCATTTTGAGGAGGTCTTGAAGGAATCCTTCCGATCCTGAATTTGATAAGAAACCGGATAACTTGTAATAATGAAGGTAAAATATTACTTCAAAGATACCTTGAGCTTGTATGCCAAGCTATAAACTCTGTTGCAGATCATCATGAGTCCAAAATAAGGTTCATAAAAGCATTTTTCCTGTTACTAGAAAATATGCCAAGAGATTTCTTCCAAATAAAGACTATCCAGCTACTTGCAGAGATTAGGTTTTCGCTTCCGTCAGAGTGACGGCACCAGTACTTTCTGAGTCTTCTTCATTCGGCTGATATATGGATTAATTGCTCGACTTCTATCCAGAAGGAATTCTGGGCATTTGTGAATGACATTTATCTGCAAGATCCTGAATACTATCACGACATATTCAGTATCCCTGAACTAGTAGATTTTTCCTTAAAACTCTCTGAAATCAAGGAAGGAATGATTTTAACAACCCAGAGGCTTTCACCAAAATTTAAGAGACCTGACTCTAAGGAGGAAGGAGCAATGAAGGATCTTTCCCTCATTCTTAGCGTCGTTGAAAAGTTATTTGTAAAAGGTGGTAGCTCTATTTCAGAGAACATAAAGTATCTTACACCAGCCCTTACTTCAAAGGCGTCAGCAACATTCAAATATGAGATCCTGAAGCTGTTGAAGGTCTTACTGGTTGACACAGAGGAAGACGCAGTATGTCCTTCTCCAATAATCTTTGCTGAACACTTCATTGAGAACTGTGGGATGCACATTCTGCTTTATTTATGCATTAATTCGCCACTTGATGTGATAAGCATGTGCTTGAAGCTTATAGATGTCCTGGGTTCTCTCAAGAAGTCAAAGAAGCTTAACATTGATACGGATATAATTCCGTTCTTGAGTAATATAATCTTAGCAAAAGTAAAAGACAGGCCTTCGGCTACCTCTCCGTCAGGTAAGAGCCCACAGCTTCTGCCTAGTATTGAAGAAGAACTTGAAGCAAACATGACTGGAGAAAAGATACATTCCCTTAAGAGAAGAAGGACTAATAGCAACGATGATATCGTATTCGAAGGAAGCCAAACTGTTGAGAAACCTATTTTCAACAGGATGTCCACCCAGAACTTCTCCAGAACAAACTTTGGCCTCGAACTTGACGTTGAAGAGGCCAATAAAGGCTTTGACAGTAAGAATAAGCAAAAAATCGAGGATCCCTTTGATGACGCTCAGAAAAGAGAATCCATTGCTGCGAAATTCAGACAAGAAATGATGATCGATGACAACATCCTCAACCAAGCTAAAGAAGTCCCACCTGGACCAAAGAGCAAATCTGTTCCTCGGAATGCAGGTTTCTTTGGAATGAGCAAGACAGAAGAAGAAATAAAGAAACCTCAAAACCAGAAAAACAAGACCAGATCTTTCTTCGATCCCTTTAGAGAAGAGTCAAAGGAGGACAACGAGGAATTAGATGCAGATTCTCCAGCCATTATGTTCGAGAGCGGAGCTCCCCCTTCTAAAGACAACATGAAAGGAGTCATTAAGAAGAGATTTGCCTTCCTCAATACCGAAGAAGAAGATGACAACGAGAAGAAGGAAGCGCCAGAGGAAAGCAAGATGGTACTCAACCCTGCTGCGACTGGTGCTACAGAGCTTCAGTCTGATAGTTCATCCGAGAGATCTGAGATGCTTAGTTTCAATAAAGGAAAGAACCAGTTTAAGAAACCTATGATAAACACTGAAGCAATCAATGAGATGTTCAACTATGGTGGAGAGAAAGGAGACTTACTCATTAGAATCCAAGATGAAGAAGAAAAGAATGAAGAATTCCTTAGAGAACTTGATGCTCTTGCCTCAATCTGTGTCGCAGCTATGAATAGAGATTTCCCAGATGATGAAATTGATGAAAAACATATTGGTTCATCTCAGGAAAGTGACCAACCTCTAAATTTCTCTTCATATAAAACTACAAATTTCAATGCTCCAAGAACAATGAGAGGTTTGAAACAATTAGAGTTCTCAAAGGCAAAGGAGGATGATACTAAGCCACTAAAATCCTATCTCAACAATGACTCTAATGTGATCCAAGAAGAACCATCTTCTCTACCAACATCAAAATCAAGCTCTTCAAGACCTGAGTTTAATACACCTACATCATTACTAGCTCCAGATCTTCAGAAAGGACTAAAGGAGAAAGCATCTGCTGAAGAGTTTAACCAAGGGATAGAAGCTCTTTATGTCTCAATCCTAGAATGGATGCTTAACAGGTCCCCTTCTAATCTCAATGAGCCCTTAATGATTGACGATTCTGATGAAATTAATAACTCCAATGTTTTAATAATCTGCTTTAACTTGCTAAAACACTCGAGTGACCTTCTCAAACAGAAAGCTTTGCAAGATTTTCAGATGTTAGCAAAGCTGAATAAAATAAACTGTAGTCATATAATTGAGAACAAGTTTTACCATTCTTGGATCCTCGAATTGCTACTCCCATACCAGCAAAGTGCTTCGCAAGAGAAGCTCTCAGGACCTTCCCTTGCAGTTTACGATATTGGCACAAAGTTTTATACAATAGTGCTTCTGCATTCACTAATTAATGAGCCAAAGAACAGATTCATTCCATATTTAGCAAGATGGCCACTGATCCTTCGCTACAAGACAGATTCAGGCAAGCATGTCAAAGATAGCAGTGAGGGGGCTTATCAGCTCACCAAGCACTTAATGTCATCTGTGATAAAACTTGTGGCTAATGAAGCCTCGAAGTGAAGGCCCTCAATCGACTTGCCCATTTGGGCCAATGTAGCTAAAATTGTATTCACAATTGAAGAGCTCGTTCTTGATAGGAAGCCCACTAATATACTCTTCAAAGAAGGCATCAAGTCTATTTATGAGGATTACTTACACATCTTGAATACAAATATGATCAAAGATAGTGAGAACCGGAAGGAATCAGCCAATGCTATTTCAAAGACAGACACATGTATCATCGATGATATTTTCAAGGTCCTCAACTATTTATGGCCATCAAGTCTGTTCGAGACAAGAGAGATCTGCGAAACCAAGGAAAGTAAAATTTTAGACATCCTCTCACATATCTCTGATGATGACTTTGCTAAAGATGCCGAACTTCTGATGTATAGCGACCAAAAGGATAAGAAGGGACCTAACAATGAGGCTAGTAATACTTTTCTCAGATCCATTGTGAACCTAGCTTGTTTAAAGATCAGTAGTATAGAGAGCACAAAAGTTTTGAATGTATGGTTGAACATTTTGCTACGTTTAGCAAAATACTTACTACTCACTAGCGAAACTTGGACGACCAAAGACTCATCATTCTATAAAACTACACAGAACGCAATTGCTGAATCTTTGGCATTCATAATAATTTTCCTCTACAGAGAATGAATTTGTTGCTCAAGGAAAGAGAATACAAAGGCTCTCAGTTCATGCTTAGAAGATATAATGGCCCATTTCCTTGTTACTGTGAATTACAGTGATATAAAATACACGCCTCAGCAGCTGAAACAGACAAAGCACAAAACAGCAAGCAAGCAACTGATGAACTCAATCTTCATCATCACTGAAGATGAGCCAATTATTTCAAATGAAATTCTAGATTTGCTAAAACTTTCAGATTACAAGAACATATCAAAGGAGCTCTTTTCAAACGACCGTTGGCGATCAGTCGTCAACGACTCTCAAAGACTCGAAGAGATTATCGAAAGCCACATAAGTTTTGATTTGCTCGAAATCATGGAGAAAAAGAAGGTAATTTATGCTCAAAATACTCAACAAATGGAGATCTCGGCTGACCGTGCTCGAGACGATAAAGCTAACAAGATCCATACTGACATTATGGAGGTAGCTATGAAGATTAGCGAGCAATCTTTTGAAGTCAAGAACAAATCCCTAATCAAGAACGAACAACTCAAGAGAGATTATAGACACGAATGGACAAACATTTCAGAAGAGCTTTTACTCTGGAAAGGACTTTGGAGAGAAAAAGAGATCTTTGACCATTCTAAAACTCCTGTTCCCACTACAGCCTCTAACACAATAGTTTCAGGAATTTCTAAATGCGTCCTAGAGTCCAGAACTCAGCAAGATTATATGTATTTCAGCAGAGAGATCAGTGATAAGCATATTTCTGGAGAAAGAGTGAACTTGAAAGACAACGATTCCTTCTCGTATACCATTCCTACAGGATCAACCTCAAATGTTCAGACGAACCGAAGTGGAGGTGACAAAAATTTACCAGAGATTAAGATTTTTACAAAAGAGCTTTCTGAGAGAGAAATTGACATTCTCAGTATGAATTATGTAGACAACCTTCTTGACATTCATACAACTTCTAAAGTAGTCAAGCAATTTGACTGAAATGTGGTGAAACCACTCTACATCCGTAGTGGGAAGACTGTGATAACCCAGACTGAGCTATACTTCTTTGACGAGCTGAAATCTATTTCTTCAAATTCAACAGGCCCAGAAGGGCCTCATGCCTGGAAGAAAAATATTGAGTTTATTCACTACAAGAAGCCAAGGGATAGCTTGCTTTTTGAGAAATGGAATATTACTGAGATAAACTCAGTGTTCTACAGAAGCTTCCTATCCAAAAACTCTTCTGCAGAAGTTTTCTTCAATAACAACACTTCCTTGTTCCTGTTCTTCTCAAATACTGAAGAGAGGGATTCATTCTGTAAACAGTTGTATAAAAATAGAGATAAGAAAGAAGCATCCAAAGGTTTCTTGGTCACCAATGGAAAGAAGGCCTTTAAGGAACGCAAATTTACCGAAAGATGGATGAACTGGGAAATCTCCACTTACGAGTACCTAATGAATGTCAATATTTATGCTAATAGAGGATACAATGACATCTCACATTACCCAGTTTTTCCCTGGCTTCATGTTAATTCTGATAAAGCATTTACCATAAATGACTGCATGAGGGATCTGACCAAAAATATGGGCCTGCTTGGGTCAAAAGATAGGATCGAAGAACTTATCAGAAAGTATGAAGAAGGAGACTGATTTGAGAATGATTCCTACCACTATGGCTCACATTACTCCCATCCAGGAATTGTACTCCATTATTTGATCAGACTTCATCCATACACTGAGGGATGCTTAGCCCTCCAAGATGGGCAATTCGATGTGGCAGATAGGCTGTTCTTCTCTGTCCCTCATGCAATTGAGAGTGCACTCAATGACATCTCCGACGTAAGAGAAGTCATCCCTGAATTTTTCTCCTGTCCTGAGATATTCATTCTCTCAAATGGAATCGAACTTGGCAAGATGCAAAATGGAACGAAAGTCAACAACGTAATTCTCCCAGATTGGGCCAACAATGACCCCTATTTTTATGTCTGAGAGCTCAAAAGAACACTTGAGAGTGAAAAAGTCAGCTTCACTATCAATAATTGGATAGACTACATCTATGGACTAAAGCAAAGAGGTATTGAAGCTGTAAATTCCCTCAATGTGTATCCTCATTATACATATGACAACACCTCAACTGAGAAAGACCAAGAAGAGAATGCTAAGGAACAAGGAACGGAAGTATCTATCTCTCAAGCATATAATTTCGGGCAGACTCCTTCACAGATTTTCAAAGATGCTCACAAAATGAGGAATTCTCGTCTGAAAGCTTTAAGATACTACCTAATCGCTGATAAGGAATCTAGCATAAGGCCTTACAGACCTGTAGACAACCAGAGAAATGTTGTAATTTTCTATTCAAAGTTCATTGACTCCAAAAAGATCTTGACCCTCACTCGTGAGAGGACTATAAAGAGCTTTAACCTGAAGTCAAAGACGACTACAAATAACTTGAAATCACCATTTACTATTGAGGCGAGTTATGAAAAGATCCTACCTCAGGCTTATACTTCTTACCTAGAATCTACAAATTTGAAAGACAATACCTTCCAGATTTTGGACGAAGTGGAGCTCCTCCTTGGCAAAGGCACCCATATAGTCAGAGGAGGGATTTACAAACGATATGTGACTGGTGAAAGGTAAGTTCTTGGTAGAATACCCCAACTTAATACTCCAAGATTTACATTGTAATGTACATCTGCTGTCTTTCTTCTTAACCCATTTTTTAATCAATCTTAGCATTTAGTACTTAATGACTTTGGTATAGATCAACTGACCTTTGAAACGGTATAATCTTGATCTGCAATATTGAAACCGGCAAGATGAGCTTCATTGAAGGCCATAGCAGTACAGTCACATGCATTTCAGTTGATGACAGAGACAAGCTGTGTGTCTCAGGCTCAAAGAAAGGAGACGTCATTTTCTGGGAAATCGGAATTGATAAGCACAACTGGACCAAAAGATATCACTTTTTCCACCATGAAGACTTAGTTACTTCAATTAACATTACTGATTCCATCATACTGACCTCGTCACTGGATTCAAGCATTAACATGTATAATCAGGATGGGAAATTATTAAGAACGTTCTATCACCCACAAGGAAACCCTATTCTGACTGTTGTATTCTCCAGTGCTCCATTGCCATGAGTAGTGTTCTACTCTTACAGAGACAAGACCTTTTATTCATTCAGTATTAATGGGAAGTTACTCGGATCCTGAAGTGAAGCTATTGAAGATCCCCTTAGAGGGATACCAGACGATAACTATCAGTATACTATGGTTAGAACTCCCAAGATAGTGGCTGATTCTTACTTCAATGACCATTTGATCTATGGGACTGATAGAGGAACTATTCTAATCCGCTCTTTGCCGTATTTAGATAACCCCAAGCACCTTCTTGTAGCTTCTGGACACTCAACCTTGACTCTTTTAGTCAGCCCAGATAGGAGATTCTTGCTTGCAGGAACATCAGTTGGAGGCTTAAGGGTCTTAACAGACCCTAGAGCTCTAGAAGAAGTTCATACGTCTAATCTCACAACAGAGTCAGATGCTGGTCTCTTAATGGCACAATCTAGAAGTATGTAACCATTTATTTTCAACATTGAAATCTTGGTCTGGGGTTTTGGGGTTTTGGGGTTTTGGGGTTTTGGGG